CCCCCCCCCCCCGCCCCCCCGGGCCCGTACGCCTATGCTTATTGCAACCCACTGAATATATAAGCAAGAGAGCCTCTTAGCAGGTAGGGGAGGACTTGTTTTTTTAGCAGTGAAATGTCGAAAAAAATTCATGCTTGCCCAAGTATAAATAAATCAACCGAAAGACGTGCTCGCATACCTTATATTACAGTCCGCCGCTCTTTCCAACCATTGCGAACCATTTCAGCTCGCATTATTACCTGAGCCCACAAGCAGGGTAAAGGATGCGCAGAAAGCTGCACAGTACGTACGTTTTTCCGCTCTGAAGCCTTACCCCATGCCAGATCAGAGCGACCTAGTTCCCTTGGCTTTTCCCGTAGAGATTATCTGAACGGAAAAGCCCTGTCAAAGGGTGAAGGTCGTCTACAAACAAAGGATGATCATCGACTTGATTAAATACGCCAAAATATGAAAAAAGATTTTAAATTATAAAGAATCGATCCGGAAAAGGTTCGAAAAGTGATATATTTTAGCTCGAAATAAGGGAATAAGGCAAAAAGAATAGGACTACCCGTCCAGACGTGATTCTTGTTAACTTTTTTCGCCCCCCACCCCCCCCGCCCCACGCAAAAAACGAAAGCCTAATCGCAGGTTAGAGCAAAGCTGCCTGTCTGTACACTAACTGTAACATGTTTCAAAAAGTCGTGGTGCTTGTGACTAAAGTCCTCGAGTAGCAGAGGCTCGTGAGATCAGAGATCCTCTGAATACTTTTTTTGACAGTTCAAATTTCCGACTGCAAAAAAATGCTTAGAATTTGTGAATTCATACCATTTAATACGTCGGAAAATAATTACACTTGAGTTCAGTAGATCATGTTGTGTCCTGAGAATTAAAAGGTCAGACGTGCCACAAGTCACAGATTTGTACTGTTTTGTTTGTCTAGAAGATTTAATACTGCATATGCAGACTGCTGACGAACGTTCAGTAAAATACGGCTTGGAAACTTAACATTTTTCTTGGCACGAAAGTGAAATACGTGTGCACAAATACATTCAGGTAAGGTAGAATTTACTGAGAAAACACCAAATGTAGGTTATAGTAGAAAGAAGCAATCGAAACCGCTAAAAAAAACTATCCGTTTGACCGTTTCCTATCTATAACTGAGGAAGAAGTTTTACATTAGTTGTTCTAAAATGTCGGCGACATTTCGACTTTCAGATGACAAATTTCCAAGAAAATAAAAATTTGACCAATACGATCGAATCTATGGGCTTGCGACTCTCCCCAAATTGGTGACATTACAAGGAAGCATCGAAAAGCTGACAAACTGATTATATTCTTTCCGGCTTAGGACTGGTTGCAGATCGCTGTGAGAATGTGCCTCAAATGTGCTTGTTGAGTTATAGGAACAAGTAAATGACAATCAATAGAAAGATTTGCTGTCTAAGAAAGTCTAATCTCCGGATCCCGCGATGACCATTATATGTTTGTATGTTCAGTTTAGTAAAGCATGCAGTGTTTTTCTCCGGTCACGATTCAGTGGCCTGGATGTCACGACCAGAGCATTCCTCAGCAAAACTGATTTCCCGGAAATTGATAGATAGAATGTTCAATTTCGATTCGATGGAAATCTATAGAAAGGCCATATCCCGAACCAATTACGAGCAAGAATGTAGATATAGCTAGATGCAAACAAGGGAGTGGTGTGTTGAAAACTTAAAGTATGATAGTAAACTTATATGCTAAAAAAGAGTTTAAGTATGACATAGTATGGAGACTCATGTCTAGGTATAGAATTCCGCGGTCAGAACAAGGGGAATTACAAAACAGGCTAATCGGATCGATGGCTACAAAAATAAAAACAGCAACAACAACAGCAAAAATCAAATTACAATATTTAGAGAGAAAGCCACATCAGCCTTAGCTGGTTTACATGCGGATTTTCCATCATGGTCGAATTGGAATTTGGAGATGTTGCTACGCTAATATATATACGCATGCTATCTCTTTTCCCACAGACTTCAATTCTTCAATTCAATTCTGACTTGTTTTCGGTTTTAAGACTCAATAACAGCGCGTACAAAGAGATTTATCATTGTTTAGTCAGTCCTATTGTCAGGAGGCCCGGGACAGGAGGTAATCTAAATTATGAGGAGAAATAGACTAGAGTTTCCTGTCTGTGAGAGGACTTAACAATATTTGTTTTCCCGAAATGGTCTGACTCATAATTTGAAAATGCTTCAGCAAATTTTTGAGATGTTTGTGCGTGGTAAAAAAGTGAGCGTGTACTTTTATAACGTTCGTCTTTGCCTGATCTGTCCACAGGAGAAAATTTCCCTCATTCTGGCCTTCACTGCCTTTTTAACTTCACTGCAACTTTTTAACTTAACTTAATGTTTTTTTGTTTTTTTTTGGAGGGGGGGGGGATATTAAAGTGAACTAAGGGAAACGTGTAATGGGCGCCTGGTCCTGCTTATGTGAGGAATTCTGTTCAAACATTAGAGTTTCAACCAGTTTGTCTAAAATCCGATTTCATCGGTATAGATTTTTATATAAAAACGTGGGACGGGGCAGAGTGCTAAAAAAGGGGGGGGGGGGGCATTAACTGCGTTGAGTTATGGCATTCCCTAATTCCTCGCAAAGCTTCTTTGCATGACTTGCGGACCTAGATGCGGACCTATGTCGTTATGTGAAGGGGATACTGGGCTCAAGAAAACATCGAGAAGTTCAAGGTAGCGTTCAGTGTAGTTCACGGTTCATGACGGAACAGTTTTATCGTTCCAAAAACAGCTGGATTAGTGGACTCTTTTATCCCTGCTTCGATTTGGAATTGGCCATTGTTTATTCCATTCATCGCTAAACAATGCTCTGTGAGAAAATGAACTATCAGAGTAATTGCAATATAATAAGATTGCGTTTACAAAGGCGACCAATTGTTCTCATGCACTTATGATGCAGAAAGCTTGTATTGGGCATGTTTATATTATGCTAAAGAGCTCAGGTGAGGTGTTTCCTGTGGCACAAGGAAAGTTATATCAAGGGAAAGAGGTAAGTCACGTATAAGTTTAAATACGATAAGAGAACGAGATGAACCATCGGTGTCATTCCACGAAATTATGAAAGTTAAAAATTCATAATGTTTGTCACGCGGAAAGATAAACTAAAAGTGCATCTCTTTAACAAAATCAAATAACCTCAAGGCTGTTAAAAGCTTTATGAAGCAACGTTTAAATTAAGCTTCATTCATTCAAGTATTTGTGTTGTGTTGACAACAGAGAGCGCTAGTATAAGACTTTTATGCCTTCCCCTTTCTCTCTATATAGCTTGCTTTAGCTAGGATTATCTGTTGTTAAACCTTGAATAACTTTTTTGTGAACTTTTAAGCTTAAGCTTATATCTTAATTAAACGATCTTGGCAGCGCATCGGGTGTTCATCTATCACAAGACAAAGGTCAGTCTTATTGTCTTATTCCGTTTAGGAATGTTCACGAAAGGACTCAGATATGAACAACTACGCTTGTAAATTAACTCGTGATCGGCACTTTTGATTATTATAAATGCTATGAGGAATGTGAAATAAAGCTCAGAATGCAAACGACATCTTTCTCCCAGTTGACACCAAACAGAGAACTATAAACTGATTGACTGAATGTTTATCACAATCTTTGGGAATGTGAAGAATTTTTAGTTTTATGTTGATCATATTAGATTTGTCACATACAAAATTGAAGACAATGATTGTATTTTTTCCACTAATTGGCATATAATGAAGTGAAAGAGGGGGAATTTTTCCGGGAGATTTTTTTTTTTTAATTGGAAAATGTATAATTGAATGGCATTCATGTACAATACGATGTTTCTTCAATCATATCAGTTGGTTGTCACTATAGTGAGTTAAAACAGAAAGTGGCTCAGTTAAATCATTAGCAGTAGTTCTGATAAAAAGAACTTGATCACACGTGTAATGGGTTAGAAACAAAAAAGCGACGTAAGTGGTATTGAACTATAATTGTTATGTTAATAGCAGAGTTATGTTCCCAATATTTGCACTACAGCGAACAGGCAATTTCTAGTGATGCATAATTTTGTAGACCTGTACATAGATAATTTCTGAATTGGTTTTTTTCCCCATAAATGATGTAAAGGCTATATGGATCAATTTAACTTAAATTTTTAGAGTGAAGTAGTTTGTAAAGAAACTGTTGTTGAAGGGCTAGCCTCGAGGTGTGTTTTTACACAGATCAGGATCACACAAAGCATGAATATCCACACTGGTAACAGGACAGCTTCTTTGAAACTTGGAGGGACCGAATCCAAGTGTGCAAGATGTGGAAAAACTGTATACTTTGCTGAACAAGTATTTGGCGCTGGGAAGAAATGGCACAAACACTGTTTCAAATGTGCAGCTTGTAACAAAACTGTCAACAGTTCTACCATGCGAGACAAGGATGGTAAGGAAAACAATCACTTTATCACAAAAGGTTTTGATGTGTTGTGCCAGAAAATATTCATTCTTCTCCCATGGAGGGTTTTTGGTTTGATCCCTGAGAGCCTCCCCCCTGGAATTTCTAATAACCCTGTCCATCAGATCCTTAGGGTGGGTATAGTTTATAGATATTTTGCTAGAGCCACACAATCAGTACTAGTAACAGAAGCTACTTGCCACTGGGGGAAACAAATTCTCAGTTCTCATGACAGAAGTTAATATCTGACACATGCCAAAGCCAGTCAGACAGTTAATGACGTGCTCTGCGGAGCTACAATAAAGGGATAACAGCTAGGCCATCTTGATACCTTGGTTTAAGTACCTTGCATGGGACCAATTAAAAAATATCTTATTGAATGTTTTTCCATCAATTTTCCTTTATTTAAATGTATGTGAACTGCACTTCCTGAAACTGCACATCACTGAAATAGTACTTTATTTGGACCAATCAAAATGCATGTTATGTTGCTGGAACCATAATTTAATGTGACAGGTGATAAGAAGCAATTTTTCGTTAGAATAGGGGAAGGCGCTGGGCCAATAATGTGGGTCACAACCTTAAAAATCCTCTTTCCAGTAACATGAATTTGATCTTCTACTATTGACCTCAAAATGCGCAAACCTGTTTTACACCACCCATCATCTAGGAATAAAGTTTATTTATTTATGTTTAACAATTCCATTGCTTTGTATTTTAAGGTGAGCTGTATTGTGGCAGTTGTCACACCAGGTTATTTGGTACAAAGGGTTATGGCTATGGTGTTGGTAGTGGTGTACTAAGCACAGACACTGGGACGGCAGGAGAAGCTGTTTCTACAGCTCCAAAAACTGCTCCTGTAAACACTGGTGGGTCAGGCACAGGAAAGAGTTGTCCACGTTGTAATCGAGTGGTGTATGATGCAGAGAAGATTCGGGCAGTTGGAAAGGTAAGTTAACTCTGAACATTTTCAGTGCTATATGTCCAGATCTCTGTTTTGTATGAACAGTACATTTCTTGTCCTCCTGTAAGAAAACAGTAATTGGAGATTCACAAGCCCAATAAATTTATACTAACCACATACAACTTAATAGACTGCTGGCAGTCTGTTTTTCTCCTAAAATTCAGCAAGGGGTTATGGGGCAAGACACTTAAGCCTAATGGGGAATGGGCTAAGCAACTCGTAGAGAAAAAAATGGCTGCCAGAAGTCTAACACAATAAATGGTCCTTCAAAAAATAGAAATTGCTCAAAATTTTAGTCAAATTTCACACCTCTTGCCAACTCAAATTTTTTTTCAGGATGATGTCAAGTGGTTTTCGAAACAGTTACTTTCTAGTATTTTTTAAATAAATTAGACTGTATTTTTAAAAACATTTTCTTCTGCCGTAATAGTTATTACACTTGCAAAGTGGAAATTATAAAGAAATGTGTCTTTTCCAACTCATACAGGAAGGAAAACTTCATGAGATGGTGAGATGGGCTTTAGATTGAGTAGTTCATCATATTTTAATACATTTTTCTTCCAGCCTCTTTTACATTCATACTTAAATTACATATCCTTTTAGATATAGCGCAATATTCAATATGACAATATTACTATTATAATAATGTTATATCATGTCCTTATTATATGCACTGTTTGGTTAATTAGGTTTTTCACAAGCAATGCTTTAAATGCCTGACTTGTAGCAAGGGTCTTACTGCAACAACAATGCGAGACCATGATGGAGAAATCTATTGTCGAGGTATTCTTTTTGTTATTTGCGTTTCTGTGGCTGTCTTTATTATTGCTTGGGCTCCTGATAGGGATTGTTGCTATTGAGAAATTTCATTGATACATTGTGTTGTTTCAGAAAATATCTATATCCCTCCCGCAGAGGATTTTTGTGGGTTGTCAACCCCATCCCTCTGGAAAATCCAGTTTTAGTTCATAATTTCCTTTAGAAATTTAAGCTTTTCAGGTCCCCTCCCCCGTGGAATTTCCAATAACTCCCTTGGGGTTGGTATTTATTCATTCGTATTTATTTCTTATCACATTAATCAATCCATGATGAATTCAAGCCTTCATTTGTTTGGTTTTCGTGCCTTTGTTATTATTTATTGAAATATTGTTGACTGAAAGATAAGTTGACCATATAGTTTGAGAACATTGATGTCTATCCCAACTCTGTGAAAAGCCATTGGAAACTCTGAGGGGGCAAGGGAATTCAAAAACCAAAGATTTAAAAAGATTCTTCCATGGGAGGTTAAGGACATTTTGTGGAACAATAATGCATTGACCAACTGTATTTATTAGGTATTCCTTGTATTATTTCTTACAGCGTGTTATGAGAAAAACTTTGCTCCTAAAGGGTTTGGATTTGGCCAGGCCCTGTCCAGGACATGAGAGTTACACCAAACTAGTACACACCTCTGAAGAAAAAAAAAACAGGAACAACAACAGATGCAGAGCAAACCAACAATCTGTTCTCCCTGTGATTGGCATTGTGAAATATTTATTTAAATTAGCATCAAGAAGTGTGCATTGCCTTGATGTAGTTCTTAATTCTCAGAACTTATACGAAACCAAATGTATAGAAATCAGGAAGACAAATTGATTGTTTGATCTTGGAAGTGAAATGGTTGATAGAAATAGTACTGTTAGAAGAATCGAAAGTTTTACCAAAACCACACTTTTCTACAGATTAGACTTTCATTTAACTTGCAGAAATTATTTTATTAGAAATACATGATTCAATAAAATGCTATATTTTACAGTTTTGTACGAAGTTGTGCATATGCATTCAACAGATCTAGTTTAATCTTTTGCATTTTTTAAAGAATTATATATAAAAAAATCCACTCACTCATTTTAGGTAAGTTAAATGTTTCAAGCTGCCCAGGCTTTAAGGTATAGTTTTATTCATGGCCTTATCAGTGATAGTGTAGTGTTCATTCATGCAAAACAAGAATTGGTTTGCCCTTTTATGCCCGGGGAGGTGGGGGGGGGGTTACTCCCTTATATGGGCTATGTAGGTATGTGCGGTCCCAAAGGGTATGGTTTTCAGCCGTTTTGGTCATAAATGCGGTATCGATTTGGCCATTTTGGTCTTAAATAGGGTATAGTTTTTGTACTCTTTTCTTGAATTGGGTATGGTTCTTAGAGAAAGTTACTTTTTCATCATTATCGATAAGACCATAAACAAAAGCCCTTCAGAAATTATGTTTAGGGCAACTGTGTCAGCCACAGGTCCTTGCATATGGCTGTTGCACCTGAAATTTGAATCGACCAATCAGGATTCAGCAGGCGGGAAAAGCTTTACTGTCTTGACGTCAATGTAAGTTAATAGGAAAGGCATTGAAATCAGGCAACTTTCTCACTGGATATGGCTTTAAATATTCAAGAAAAGGGATTTCAAAAACCATATCAGATTGTAAAAAGTGAAAAACATGAAGCATTTTGTGTCTCCAAGCTCCTAATTTGGTGCCAAAAATAGGTCACCGGCGTACGGCATGGCAACTCACTGGTAGTTTGTCGAGTGTCGCCAGGTAGGATAATATTTGTTTTATTTTGAACAAAATATGCTGTTCCTCGTCAAATTAAATCCGGAATTCTCAAGTTAACTATTAGAAGAGGCCAATGCAACTCTAGCATTGTCTTTATTTTTGTTAGCTGCGAAGAAAAAGACTATTATTGGGTCATTTCGGTAGGGCAGCTTGGTTTTGACTGCTGCTCGTTCTGTGAGCGTAGCCACCATATGTAATTGCAAGGGCAACGGTCAAAAATAGGGTATTGAATTTTTGGTCTGGTCATAACTGGGTAGGGAAAATTGCAGATTTTGGTCATAAATAGGGTAAGGGTTTTGGGAAGTGGGCCACACACCCCTACCCAATTTTTCCGGGCGTACCCCTGCCCCCTCAGGGGCTTTAATGACAGTAGCATATTTTCTTAATGAAAAGCAGTTTACCTTCAGTTTTATCTAACAGGAGAACAGATAACTAGATATTTCAAGTTTTCACTAATTTATTGTTTTGGTCACGTCTAGTGTTAGTTAAAATTCGGATTACAGTCGTTTTGCCTACAATTCGTTTCGCTAGATTGATTATTTATACGCAAGGGTTCTGTTCAAGTCAAAGGGATGATTAAACACAAAAGGTTTATAACAGATTGCTTTAATACTTTAATAAAATAATAGTATAGTCTTTTTGAATTTGTCTTGTCTTGTGTATGCGGTTTTTTTCTAGATGCAAACCAAAGGTTCTTTGAGCTATCTCGTGCAACAGTTCTCCGTATCTCTACTTTCCATTTTTTCGGACATGCGTGACCTTTGAGATACGTAGAGACGTTACATAAATCTGTAAGGTTTCGTATCCCTTTAGGGGTTTGAGGTAAGGGGTGTCTCCCAGTCACCTTTACTAACTATCTGTAGACCAAGTCAGTAAACCATACCCTTTTTAGGACAAACGTACAGTAAGAAATCCTTGGAAATCGTTTTTTTAAGATATAATGCTCGCACTAACACAAAACAAATAAAAGGAACTGACCTGATAAGGCGAGGCGAGGCGAGGCGTCTTTATTCGTGAATCGTTCAGAACTGATTTGTGCCATACAATATGAACGACCTCGGACCATCGAAAGAAAGTTTCTTTGCCTCATCTGGTCGCCAGTTTTCTCTCTAGGGCTTACACATAGAAACTTCAAATTTCTTCAATATTTCATTACAATTGTCTCTCGAGAATTGTACTTTAATACAGTTGAACCTATCCTATCCATAACGAGGTTTTGATTGAATCTTGGTTCGATCGATACTTGCAGTACGGGAAGTGGGAACGAGATGTAACAGAAAGGAACTAGAGGCGTTGATCGACCAACTATTCTCTGAAAACGAAACTACAGTTGAACCTCTCCACAACGGCCACCTTGGGGACGAAGAAAAGTGACCAAGGTGGCCCGGCTTTATGCCCGGCCTTTATGGGGAGGTAGGCGTATAATATGACACCGATTTTCTTCTTGGAGTTCAATATTTTTATCTTTGAAAAGCATATTTAGCATGTAAATACACAATCAAAATATATCGAAAAAACGGAAACCAAACAGAAACAGAGACCAACGTCGACGCGCAGTATATAAGATCAAGTTTCGTGACCTTCTCCAATTAAAAATGGGTTTTGTATACACCGTTCGTCGGTTGTTGATTAACTGGCCGTTGTCGAGAGACCGTTCGTGCGCCGGGGCAAAAAAGTGGCCGTTGTAGAGAGGTGGCCGTCAGTGGAGGTTCCACTGTACTCATTATTTTCAACAGTTTTAACATCATGTAGTACTCCATCCTCAAGACACAAGGGGCTGCTAGTCGGCACGATGCGATATTTTCGGGCGAAAGTTTGCTTCAAGGATACCCAGGGGCTTTTCCGCTCAGGCTCTTGAAGTAAACTTTTGCCCGAAAATATCGCATCGTACCGACAAGCAGCCCCTGGGTTTCCGAGGATGGTAGTACTTGGGCATTGGGAATTACTTTCTTCATAACTTGTGCAACAGACTTGGAATGGACAAGTGAGGAAGGTGAATCGTCCACCCTTGCTTGAACCTAGTATCACCCGGTAGGAAACAGCCGCAGGTGGAGAATGAAACACTGGGTATTAGGACCTACTGCACTGATCAAGCTTCAGTTGAATTATTGATAATCGGTTGTTGAATTTCCCTCTCATTCTTGTAGAGCAGTAATTTACAGATATTTTCAGTCTTGGCATACAATCTCATCAAGGTGGTGAATCAGAGATGAAATATCTTGCCAATTGCTGGAAATGTGTCGCTGTGGAGCTGCAGAAAGGAGAATTTAACAACATGATCATCTAAATTTATGACAAACAATGCCTGTCTGGTCCCTCTGGTACCTGCTGCTGGCTTTGATATTATTTCACTCTGTGTTTTGCAGTGAAGCTCATAACAAAGGTTAGTTAAGATTTATTTTCCCAAATTAAAATTCCTGTTAACTTCTTCAAGTATAAAGCTGAGATATATTTTGAATAAAGAAACGAGCGAGCACCATCAAATTATTGAAAAGCATCATGACCCATCATGGCCGAACAATTGATCTTCTGTAGGTCTTTGCCTTGGCTCAGTAAATAATATTATTCAAAATTTCAATTTTCTCAATAAGCTCTACTTTGAAATCAGTAATTATCGTTTGGTCAACTATGACCGGATATTTGTACTGATGAATTCTTTAAAGGACGCATTTGTCGGTTTTGTGGCAACATAGTTGACTGTCAGGGACTGGTAACTACAGGAAACAGGATATTATCGATCTTTCTTTTGTTGTGAGCGGCAAATACTCTATAACAGACATTGAACACTTCAATGTGTGTGTGTAAACACTTGACTTTATGACAGGGTCGATATGAACACAAAAATCTGTTTCAGTTTATAGCTTAAAACGCAAGTAATGTCTCAACGTCATTTCCATTACAAAGAAAATCCTAGGGTCGGTTTCATTCACAAGAAATAATGATCAGGCGAACTTCCCGATGGAGGTCGGCGCTGTGCACACGCGATTTGGAGTATTGCTTTTCCGATTGGACGGTACGCTAGTTCATTCCGCAAAATTTTTTCCAGAGCAATTTCCTAGAAGTTGTTTACACATCTGTGAGTAGGCTCGATTACCAGCCGCTGTTCGGGAAAGGAGCACACGTTCCTCCCCCGTAGACCCGACTCGGAATCGAGCTAGCCTGTATGGGAGGAGAGGGAGAAACAAAACCACAGGTGAACCCAGCCGAGACGGGGATCGAATCAGGATCTATCGACAGTCTGAAGTCAATGCATCAAACCATTGGAATTAAAAGCTGTATTGTGATGGGCATGTTTAGCTTTTTAAGGAAAAGGCCATGGGAAATTGTTTCATTTACTCAGTTTACGCTCTTAACATTTCTGGTGTGATTATGAACTTCTTTACAGGATCAACTGTTAAGCAACACAAAGAATCTCTTCTAAAGTTCTTCAAGCTTAATGATGAAAACCCGACTTCGGAAAATGCAACTTTGAACATAACAAACAGTCCGGGGAGATGTGGACTCCTAACCAAGAAACTCTGCGCCCAAAAGCATAAAAGTAAAAGCAACACGGTGAAAAAATCATTTCGTCCTTACTATTATGATGACGACGACGACGAAGATTCGGATGATTACGATGAAACCGCCGATGACGACGACTTTCCGGAGGAAACCGAGACAGGTTCTTATCGATCTTATGCACCTCGGGATCACGAAAGGCCATACGATGATGAGTCCGAAGATTACGATCGCGAATCTTGGCGAGGTCAAAACTTCGACGATGAAGACTCTGAGCCACGTGAAAGGCCTGGGTACGAGGGAGATATGGATGATTGGGACTGGGACTCACCAAGACGTCATGGTGAAAGACACACTTTCAAAGGTGCTAGGATCATTGATCAACCCAATAATTTTGCACTAAATTTAAAGAGAATCACTTGTAGTGTCTTTGGTTTTGCATTTTTTGTGAAGTTGATTTCATTTCGAAAACTCGAATGACTTGCTTAACAATCCATCAAGTAAAAATAAGATTGCACCTCTTTTCTCGCTCTTGCCTCATTAACGTGTTTTCCCATGCATACTATCGCTAACATGGTTTCCTGCAGCGAAATACGAGATACAAAAACCCTCAACTTGTCGCACAACATCGTTTCGTTGCAAGTTTTGGGTCGACGTTTCGCATTTTTCACCTTGCGTGATGAACTTGTGGCGCAACAAAAACATTTGTTGCGTTTTGAAGAAAGTTGTTGCAAAAAGTAGAGCGAGAGTCTGCTTTGAGCAACAAATTAAATTTAGGCCTTGTTGCTCGTTTTTCATCAAACTCACAACTTGTCACGCAACAAATTTGCTCATGCTCAAGCAAATCAACCAATCAGCGCGCGGTATTTCTTCAACCCGCAACAAATGTTTTTGTTGCGCGACAAGTTGATCACGCAAGGTGAAAACGCGAAACATCGACCCAAAACTTGCAACGAAACAATATTGCGCGACAAGTTGAGGGTTTTTGTATCTCGTATTTTGCCGCCTTTACCATCGTAACATGCTCGAGCCGGTCCGTATTTTTGATCGGCTGGTATGTAGTTGTTATAACCCCTATGCTATGTATACAGATCCTCAAATGTAGAAGGGGCATCGAAATCAAAAATCGGTTTGCTCCTGTCTTGCAGATAGAGAAAGATGGAGGTCACATGACGTTCCACAAGACGACGATGAGTTCGAACCAAGCTATTCCACTCAATATCGCCATCACCCAAGACATTCGCATTATCGACATTATCACCATCAGTATCGACCCCCAGTTCATGCAAGTTATCGAACATTCAGCCAAGCCGCGCCTTCGTGGCCTACGTACTTCCAGGAGTATTCAAGGCGTAGCCCTTTCGCTGCCCCTGTGCCGTATGTTACTAATCCGGCGAGCGTGGATTGGACAAGAGGTCTCGCCTCTTACCAACCAAGGTGGCAGCCTCGGTATTACCCTCCTGTGGCAGCTACATCTGCGCCGCAATCGTTCAACACTCGGCTAGCAGGCCCTAGCAGTTTGAACCCTTACCAACAGAACATACTCAGCTATCAAAATCGGGAGTCCAATTCATTTTTTATTCCACCCTATCATGTTTCATCGCCTTCATACTTACGAGCTACAACGCGTAATCTCGTGGATTTTACTATCCCAAACTCTCTCCCGGGAGTAGCAGCGAGTTCCCCTCGGCTATCTCACCATATCTATCATTACCCTCCGGTAGTTTCTCACTCCAGACATATAATCAGCCCGTTTTCTAGACCGTTTATAAGACGTCGGGAGTTTTCTGACGCAGTTCTTAACAGACTCAGAGACATGAATCTTCATTAGCAAGAAGGCACGATCTGTTATGCTGTGATTTCAGCAACAATCTTTAAAAGTGAACGAGATCTCGCAGACTGACAAGATTATCAGCGTTTCAGTGCAACCTGATTGAAAAGTTCATCAATAACGAAATAAAGAGCTGCATCGCCATGCAAGATCTGGTTAAGCTCTCGCGATTTATTCAATTCCTACCATTCTATGAACATTAAAAATAACTAGGTGGACACGAATTTTCGTCGTAATATCAAAAGGTATGACATAAGATATATGTTATTATTCATAATGTTCTCTGGCTAATCATTTAATAGTCATTGGGTAATTATAATTCATTGCACGACAGTTAGACAGAAACGTTTTTCACAACAGGACGGCAGGCTGACTCAAAGCTTGTTGTTAGTGCTGTGGGCCGCAAAATGGGCAGAGTGGTCGCTGAAAGCAATTGCGCATGTGCAGGACTAATCATTTTAACATCCGCTGAGTAAGAGATAGACACTAGTCGCTGGGCTGGCCGCGTGGGCTGAAGCGTAGTACTTGAGACTGGTAACGAGACCATGGAATTTGGTTGTGGAACAGGGTGCAACAAAGGTGTAGGGACAGCGGTCATCTGAGGTAATCCTGTTGAGCTTGTGGGTAATGTTGGAGGTGTTGACGAGGCGTCAATTTTGAAACATCCTGGAAACAAAAATTACAGTCAGGGTAAATTTCCAGTGATGAGCTTATCCGCCCTAAATCTTGTATCCAGCCAAAGTTCTCAGAAGGAGCCTCGGGGACTCTAAGCAATAGGGTACAAGATTGATGCGCGCATTATGAACCATCGTGTTGGGCACNGGGGGGGGGGGGTTACTCCCTTATATGGGCTATGTAGGTATGTGCGGTCCCAAAGGGTATGGTTTTCAGCCGTTTTGGTCATAAATGCGGTATCGATTTGGCCATTTTGGTCTTAAATAGGGTATAGTTTTTGTACTCTTTTCTTGAATTGGGTATGGTTCTTAGAGAAAGTTACTTTTTCATCATTATCGATAAGACCATAAACAAAAGCCCTTCAGAAATTATGTTTAGGGCAACTGTGTCAGCCACAGGTCCTTGCATATGGCTGTTGCACCTGAAATTTGAATCGACCAATCAGGATTCAGCAGGCGGGAAAAGCTTTACTGTCTTGACGTCAATGTAAGTTAATAGGAAAGGCATTGAAATCAGGCAACTTTCTCACTGGATATGGCTTTAAATATTCAAGAAAAGGGATTTCAAAAACCATATCAGATTGTAAAAAGTGAAAAACATGAAGCATTTTGTGTCTCCAAGCTCCTAATTTGGTGCCAAAAATAGGTCACCGGCGTACGGCATGGCAACTCACTGGTAGTTTGTCGAGTGTCGCCAGGTAGGATAATATTTGTTTTATTTTGAACAAAATATGCTGTTCCTCGTCAAATTAAACCCGGAATTCTCAAGTTAACTATTAGAAGAGGCCAAAGCAACTCTAGCATTGTCTTTATTTTTGTTAGCTGCGAAGAAAAAGACTATTATTGGGTCATTTCGGTAGGGCAGCTTGGTTTTGACTGCTGCTCGTTCTGTGAGCGTAGCCACCATATGTAATTGCAAGGGCAACGGTCAAAAATAGGGTATTGAATTTTTGGTCTGGTCATAACTGGGTAGGGAAAATTGCAGATTTTGGTCATAAATAGGGTAAGGGTTTTGGGAAGTGGGCCACACACCCCTACCCAATTTTTCCGGGCGTACCCCTGCCCCCTCAGGGGCTTTAATGACAGTAGCATATTTTCTTAATGAAAAGCAGTTTACCTTCAGTTTTATCTAACAGGAGAACAGATAACTAGATATTTCAAGTTTTCACTAATTTATTGTTTTGGTCACGTCTAGTGTTAGTTAAAATTCGGATTACAGTCGTTTTGCCTACAATTCGTTTCGCTAGATTGATTATTTATACGCAAGGGTTCTGTTCAAGTCAAAGGGATGATTAAACACAAAAGGTTTATAACAGATTGCTTTAATACTTTAATAAAATAATAGTATAGTCTTTTTGAATTTGTCTTGTCTTGTGTATGCGGTTTTTTTCTAGATGCAAACCAAAGGTTCTTTGAGCTATCTCGTGCAACAGTTCTCCGTATCTCTACTTTCCATTTTTTCGGACATGCGTGACCTTTGAGATACGTAGAGACGTTACATAAATCTGTAAGGTTTCGTATCCCTTTAGGGGTTTGAGGTAAGGGGTGTCTCCCAGTCACCTTTACTAACTATCTGTAGACCAAGTCAGTAAACCATACCCTTTTTAGGACAAACGTACAGTAAGAAATCCTTGGAAATCGTTTTTTTAAGATATAATGCTCGCACTAACACAAAACAAATAAAAGGAACTGACCTGATAAGGCGAGGCGAGGCGAGGCGTCTTTATTCGTGAATCGTTCAGAACTGATTTGTGCCATACAATATGAACGACCTCGGACCATCGAAAGAAAGTTTCTTTGCCTCATCTGGTCGCCAGTTTTCTCTCTAGGGCTTACACATAGAAACTTCAAATTTCTTCAATATTTCATTACAATTGTCTCTCGAGAATTGTACTTTAATACAGTTGAACCTATCCTATCCATAACGAGGTTTTGATTGAATCTTGGTTCGATCGATACTTGCAGTACGGGAAGTGGGAACGAGATGTAACAGAAAGGAACTAGAGGCGTTGATCGACCAACTATTCTCTGAAAACGAAACTACAGTTGAACCTCTCCACAACGGCCACCTTGGGGACGAAGAAAAGTGACCAAGGTGGCCCGGCTTTATGCCCGGCCTTTATGGGGAGGTAGGCGTATAATATGACACCGATTTTCTTCTTGGAGTTCAATATTTTTATCTTTGAAAAGCATATTTAGCATGTAAATACACAATCAAAATATATCGAAAAAACGGAAACCAAACAGAAACAGAGACCAACGTCGACGCGCAGTATATAAGATCAAGTTTCGTGACCTTCTCCAATTAAAAATGGGTTTTGTATACACCGTTCGTCGGTTGTTGATTAACTGGCCGTTGTCGAGAGACCGTTCGTGCGCCGGGGCAAAAAAGTGGCCGTTGTAGAGAGGTGGCCGTCAGTGGAGGTTCCACTGTACTCATTATTTTCAACAGTTTTAACATCATGTAGTACTCCATCCTCAAGACACAAGGGGCTGCTAGTCGGCACGATGCGATATTTTCGGGCGAAAGTTTGCTTCAAGGATACCCAGGGGCTTTTCCGCTCAGGCTCTTGAAGTAAACTTTTGCCCGAAAATATCGCATCGTACCGACAAGCAGCCCCTGGGTTTCCGAGGATGGTAGTACTTGGGCATTGGGAATTACTTTCTTCATAACTTGTGCAACAGACTTGGAATGGACAAGTGAGGAAGGTGAATCGTCCACCCTTGCTTGAACCTAGTATCACCCGGTAGGAAACAGCCGCAGGTGGAGAATGAAACACTGGGTATTAGGACCTACTGCACTGATCAAGCTTCAGTTGAATTATTGATAATCGGTTGTTGAATTTCCCTCTCATTCTTGTAGAGCAGTAATTTACAGATATTTTCAGTCTTGGCATACAATCTCATCAAGGTGGTGAATCAGAGATGAAATATCTTGCCAATTGCTGGAAATGTGTCGCTGTGGAGCTGCAGAAAGGAGAATTTAACAACATGATCATCTAAATTTATGACAAACAATGCCTGTCTGGTCCCTCTGGTACCTGCTGCTGGCTTTGATATTATTTCACTCTGTGTTTTGCAGTGAAGCTCATAACAAAGGTTAGTTAAGATTTATTTTCCCAAATTAAAATTCCTGTTAACTTCTTCAAGTATAAAGCTGAGATATATTTTGAATAAAGAAACGAGCGAGCACCATCAAATTATTGAAAAGCATCATGACCCATCATGGCCGAACAATTGATCTTCTGTAGGTCTTTGCCTTGGCTCAGTAAATAATATTATTCAAAATTTCAATTTTCTCAATAAGCTCTACTTTGAAATCAGTAATTATCGTTTGGTCAACTATGACCGGATATTTGTACTGATGAATTCTTTAAAGGACCCATTTGTCGGTTTTGTGGCAACATAGTTGACTGTCAGGGACTGGTAACTACAGGAAACAGGATATTATCGATCTTTCTTTTGTTGTGAGCGGCAAATACTCTATAACAGACATTGAACACTTCAATGTGTGTGTGTAAACACTTGACTTTATGACAGGGTCGATATGAACACAAAAATCTGTTTCAGTTTATAGCTTAAAACGCAAGTAATGTCTCAACGTCATTTCCATTACAAAGAAAATCCTAGGGTCGGTTTCATTCACAAGAAATAATGATCAGGCGAACTTCCCGATGGAGGTCGGCGCTGTGCACACGCGATTTGGAGTATTGCTTTTCCGATTGGACGGTACGCTAGTTCATTCCGCAAAATTTTTTCCAGAGCAATTTCCTAGAAGTTGTTTACACATCTGTGAGTAGGCTCGATTACCAGCCGCTGTTCGGGAAAGGAGCACACGTTCCTCCCCCGTAGACCCGACTCGGAATCGAGCTAGCCTGTATGGGAGGAGAGGGAGAAACAAAACCACAGGTGAACCCAGCCGAGACGGGGATCGAATCAGGATCTATCGACAGTCTGAAGTCAATGCATCAAACCATTGGAATTAAAAGCTGTATTGTGATGGGCATGTTTAGCTTTTTAAGGAAAAGGCCATGGGAAATTGTTTCATTTACTCAGTTTACGCTCTTAACATTTCTGGTGTGATTATGAACTTCTTTACAGGATCAACTGTTAAGCAACACAAAGAATCTCTTCTAAAGTTCTTCAAGCTTAATGATGAAAACCCGACTTCGGAAAATGCAACTTTGAACATAACAAACAGTCCGGGGAGATGTGGACTCCTAACCAAGAAACTCTGCGCCCAAAAGCATAAAAGTAAAAGCAACACGGTGAAAAAATCATTTCGTCCTTACTATTATGATGACGACGACGACGAAGATTCGGATGATTACGATGAAACCGCCGATGACGACGACTTTCCGGAGGAAACCGAGACAGGTTCTTATCGATCTTATGCACCTCGGGATCACGAAAGGCCATACGATGATGAGTCCGAAGATTACGATCGCGAATCTTGGCGAGGTCAAAACTTCGACGATGAAGACTCTGAGCCACGTGAAAGGCCTGGGTACGAGGGAGATATGGATGATTGGGACTGGGACTCACCAAGACGTCATGGTGAAAGACACACTTTCAAAGGTGCTAGGATCATTGATCAACCCAATAATTTTGCACTAAATTTAAAGAGAATCACTTGTAGTGTCTTTGGTTTTGCATTTTTTGTGAAGTTGATTTCATTTCGAAAACTCGAATGACTTGCTTAACAATCCATCAAGTAAAAATAAGATTGCACCTCTTTTCTCGCTCTTGCCTCATTAACGTGTTTTCCCATGCATACTATCGCTAACATGGTTTCCTGCAGCGAAATACGAGATACAAAAACCCTCAACTTGTCGCACAACATCGTTTCGTTGCAAGTTTTGGGTCGACGTTTCGCATTTTTCACCTTGCGTGATGAACTTGTGGCGCAACAAAAACATTTGTTGCGTTTTGAAGAAAGTTGTTGCAAAAAGTAGAGCGAGAGTCTGCTTTGAGCAACAAATTAAATTTAGGCCTTGTTGCTCGTTTTTCATCAAACTCACAACTTGTCACGCAACAAATTTGCTCATGCTCAAGCAAATCAACCAATCAGCGCGCGGTATTTCTTCAACCCGCAACAAATGTTTTTGTTGCGCGACAAGTTGATCACGCAAGGTGAAAACGCGAAACATCGACCCAAAACTTGCAACGAAACAATATTGCGCGACAAGTTGAGGGTTTTTGTATCTCGTATTTTGCCGCCTTTACCATCGTAACATGCTCGAGCCGGTCCGTATTTTTGATCGGCTGGTATGTAGTTGTTATAACCCCTATGCTATGTATACAGATCCTCAAATGTAGAAGGGGCATCGAAATCAAAAATCGGTTTGCTCCTGTCTTGCAGATAGAGAAAGATGGAGGTCACATGACGTTCCACAAGACGACGATGAGTTCGAACCAAGCTATTCCACTCAATATCGCCATCACCCAAGACATTCGCATTATCGACATTATCACCATCAGTATCGACCCCCAGTTCATGCAAGTTATCGAACATTCAGCCAAGCCGCGCCTTCGTGGCCTACGTACTTCCAGGAGTATTCAAGGCGTAGCCCTTTCGCTGCCCCTGTGCCGTATGTTACTAATCCGGCGAGCGTGGATTGGACAAGAGGTCTCGCCTCTTACCAACCAAGGTGGCAGCCTCGGTATTACCCTCCTGTGGCAGCTACATCTGCGCCGCAATCGTTCAACACTCGGCTAGCAGGCCCTAGCAGTTTGAACCCTTACCAACAGAACATACTCAGCTATCAAAATCGGGAGTCCAATTCATTTTTTATTCCACCCTATCATGTTTCATCGCCTTCATACTTACGAGCTACAACGCGTAATCTCGTGGATTTTACTATCCCAAACTCTCTCCCGGGAGTAGCAGCGAGTTCCCCTCGGCTATCTCACCATATCTATCATTACCCTCCGGTAGTTTCTCACTCCAGACATATAATCAGCCCGTTTTCTAGACCGTTTATAAGACGTCGGGAGTTTTCTGACGCAGTTCTTAACAGACTCAGAGACATGAATCTTCATTAGCAAGAAGGCACGATCTGTTATGCTGTGATTTCAGCAACAATCTTTAAAAGTGAACGAGATCTCGCAGACTGACAAGATTATCAGCGTTTCAGTGCAACCTGATTGAAAAGTTCATCAATAACGAAATAAAGAGCTGCATCGCCATGCAAGATCTGGTTAAGCTCTCGCGATTTATTCAATTCCTACCATTCTATGAACATTAAAAATAACTAGGTGGACACGAATTTTCGTCGTAATATCAAAAGGTATGACATAAGATATATGTTATTATTCATAATGTTCTCTGGCTAATCATTTAATAGTCATTGGGTAATTATAATTCATTGCACGACAGTTAGACAGAAACGTTTTTCACAACAGGACGGCAGGCTGACTCAAAGCTTGTTGTTAGTGCTGTGGGCCGCAAAATGGGCAGAGTGGTCGCTGAAAGCAATTGCGCATGTGCAGGACTAATCATTTTAACATCCGCTGAGTAAGAGATAGACACTAGTCGCTGGGCTGGCCGCGTGGGCTGAAGCGTAGTACTTGAGACTGGTAACGAGACCATGGAATTTGGTTGTGGAACAGGGTGCAACAAAGGTGTAGGGACAGCGGTCATCTGAGGTAATCCTGTTGAGCTTGTGGGTAATGTTGGAGGTGTTGACGAGGCGTCAATTTTGAAACATCCTGGAAACAAAAATTACAGTCAGGGTAAATTTCCAGTGATGAGCTTATCCGCCCTAAATCTTGTATCCAGCCAAAGTTCTCAGAAGGAGCCTCGGGGACTCTAAGCAATAGGGTACAAGATTGATGCGCGCATTATGAACCATCGTGTTGGGCACTTTTTATGGACTCTGAACACATTCTAGAAAGAGTGCTGTATTACATACATTCCGTCGCCTTACTCGATCAAAATATCAATTCTCTCTCCAATCGTTTTTCTGTTGGTAATAAGGCGACATGTTTACTCGTCTTTTAATGAATTGATTCATTTCTAACGCCGGACTGAACGTAGTGTAAACTTAGGACCAATTAGGGGAGCTTTTATATTACAACCAATCAGAGAAGCCATTATATTGCAATCAGTAAGGGAAGCCGTTATATTGCGAAGAATACAAAAGCAAAAAACCGACACAACGTAGAATGATTTTTTGAAGGTGTACTATATTTCGGCTGGTCAAACCAGCCTTCTTCAGGTACA